GCTGCCATGTCAATTGCATCCAGGTTGCGCTGTGTGATGTAATCGACAGCGAATGTGGCGGTGAGGGCGCACCAAAGGTACTATTGCTGAATTTAGCTATAAATGAAAATGGAAAATTAATAAACATATGTGTGTATGTAAATATGTGTGTAAACACCAAAATAAAACGAGCGATTTAGAGCCAGAAGCCAACAATTTTGGATAAGCAAAAACAAAATCAAATTTCCAAAAATACTGAAATAAGTCAACCAATGTCATATTTGGGCAGCTAATGTTTATGTGCATGTGTAAGCTTATTTTGAGTAGATACCCTGCAGGGAAGATCTCATGCCACAAAATAAATAAATATTTTAATATTTTTAAGATAAAGTACTGTTTAAATAAATAAATAGTTTGTTTAAAGTTTGGAAGCAAGTAGTGAGTAAGGTAGAGACAAGTGAAACAATATTTTAAAATAAAGTAGATAAAACGTTGTTGCCTAGGTTAAGTAGTGGTTAAGCGTCCAGCTTGTAAGTAGTCAAAGACAAATAAAATTATATTAAAAAAAAATGTGAGAAACTAAATCTTGTTTTCTATTTATAGTTTCAGAAATAATTCTGCGAGGGTAAACTTATGTTAGCACGAACACTGTGCCAGTAGTTTAAAACCTATTAAATTCAAATTTGAAAGCCAATGCATTTAAGCTCAAACTCCGGATTGAGCGGGTGAAAGTTCTATTAAACTAGTGCTTATGCGACTATTTTGATACTGAAAGTGTTCAATTATTTTTTTCATAAAATAGGAAAACTAGTGAATTAAAATTGAAAGTTGAAGTTGACTTACAGCCGGTTTCACCAGCAATTTAAACGGAAAATGATTTTTTATTTGCTGTCAATCTCCATATAAAATTCAAAAAATTAAAATCATTTTTCAATTAAATTGCTTTCGTAAAATTTACTTTTTAAGCCCACACTCTTCCCTGCAGGGTCAACGTAGTATTTACCTTGGTTATTGAAATAATAATAAATAGATAAACTATTTCCAATATTGTTTCTAAACTATGTAAACCATACTCACCATTCTCATCATCAGTCGTATTGATCAGCAACATCGAAGATGGCAAAGCTGTGCCATAGCGTCCGCGCGTCACCACCGTAATGCGATACAATGCGTGCGGCTCCAAATTTGTCAGTACAATGCCGGTCTCGTTTGTGGTCAATTCCTGTATGCGCCACCACCAAATATGAATGCATGCCACACCAAGCACACACACACACACACGCACAAGTACGCACGCACACGTACGGATGCAGTTGGTAGACAAAGAGTACGCATTGCAGTGGCATTAGTGGGTTTACGCACAGTTTTATGGTTGTTCGTCGTTGTTGAGTGGATGTATTGACGGCGGGCAGCAGCATATTTTCCATTTATAGCAAAGCATTAGTAAATAGCAGAATCAGCGAGTCAGTGGCAGCAACAACGGCGACCAATCAATTTTGGACGAATCGTTTAGAACATGCAATTGAAATTTGAAATTGAAA